GGTTAATTCGCGATCGGGCAGTGCTCATTGTACCGAACCCAGGGGTGCGGTTTGCGCAACGTTAACGCAATCCCAGGAATGCAGCAATATTGGTTTTCGTTGAAAGTATTGGACTCGGTTAAGGACTCCCAAGTCGTTAGGTCTGATGTATGAGCCCGTGCTGCGATAAGACAATGCCCTGCGCCACCTATTACGAACTCTATGCGCTCCAAGTACATATTGATTCGATGAGCAGCTCTATGCTTGGCCCCCACGAAGGATTCGTCCGCAATAATCTGCTTCCTCAATGCAGCATATGCTTACATCCAAATGTACGATCTTCCTTCGACTTGTTCCATATTTGGTCCATAAGGGCTGCGTTGGCGGCGATGCATGCATGCGCGAGTCAGGGAAAAGATACATAATGGCCCACGGCCGTCCAGCAATCGCCTAACATGAGGTAGTGTCAAAATTTAAGATGTACTACTCTCCGAATACTCTCTTATCTTCCCTGACTTTCAGACTTTCATTGTCCTACAAGCGGCGTGCCAGATTCAGCGGCTGGCGTGGTGGGTTCGTTCTTGCCATCATCGGCTCATCACTGGTTCTGCTTTTCAATATCATATGCGCTGTAGTAGCTGCTGCTATTGGAGAACCACACGACGGCATCGCGACGATCTATACAGGAAATTGTCTTGTTGCGTCGCGATTAACGACAAGTCTACAACTACTCATCAACATCTTGAGCAGCTCCTTGTTAGGCGCGTCAAGTTATTGTTTACAACAACTTGGGGCACCCACGAGAAAGGAAATCGACAGAGCTCATGGAAAGGGCAAATGGCTGGACGTGGGAGTCTTGAGCCTGAGAAATCTACCGAACATTAGTAAGAGAAGGCAGGTTGCGTGGTTATTGCTTGCTATGAGTAGTATACCTCTGCATTTCTTGTGAGTATGGTCCGCTCCTAGGGATGGCTGGAATTTGTCTCGCATTCTACAAGGGATAATCTATCCCAGGAGTATACATGATCCTACAAAGTCCACAACTCTTGACGTTTGAGGGCATGTATACTGCAAACTATATCACCAACCCATGACACCCCTAGTGCCGCTTCAGATCTTGTAAATCAGACATGCTGAATGATGGCAGGTACAATTCGGTTATATTCCAAACAATAGCAACGAACGAAATCGACTTGGTGTTCGTACACGAAGCTTTTCTCAACACGAAGGGAGGGTGGAAGCTCGAAGACGGAAATGAGGACTACATGTCTCATTTTCAGGCTCTACAGAACACAGTTCTAGGCGAGCAGTATGCCAACACGTCTCGCTTTGAGAACATATCTACTGCTGAGTGCTTTCATCGCTATCAGACCCCCTTCATGAGCGCTGGTAACGGCTTCGCCGTTATGCCAATGAATCAAAGCGATGCAAATGACAACAGCTCACTCGTAGACTTCGCTATCACCGATGCAGGGATTAGTATTGGTAAACGCTTTCTCACTCATGTTTTATGTAAGCTCCCGTTCGATTGCGCATTGACTGTAACTTACATCCTGCAGATTGCCTGAGCGAGATTTCACCCGAGCGATGCCAAGTACAACTCAGCCAGACCATCTTGTTCATTGTCATTGCGTGTAACACGCTAAAGGTGACTCTTATGTTCACGGTACTCAGATGGATGGACGATGAAACCATCGTCACAACAGGCGACGCAATTCAGTCGTTTATCCTTTACCCGGATACCACAACCACAGGCTGCTGTTTGATGGATAGAAACAGTTTTCAACAGACTTCGGAGAGACCAGAAGCCAGACAAAATCAGCGCTATCAGCCCAGCAATAGACATCGTTGGCACAAAGTGATCAGCCGGAAGCGCTGGCTCTCTTCGCTTGTTTCGTAAGACTACGCTCCGATATTCCACTTGTACAAGACAGAGTCTTACACACCGCAGATATTTCTTGGTCTTAGTCACAGCTGTATATCTCTACAGTCGCGTAGGCAGTCGCAAGAAGACGTGCGTAGATCCAGATGTCCGCAAAGTGAATACTTGCCGCTGGAACAACTTCGGAAATGTTGATCCCAGTAAGTTAACTGCATGACTTAATCCAAATCCGTTGCACTGGTCTTCTACCTCCCCGCACGTCTCGTACGGACGTTGTTATATACGCACGCTCATGTTACGAAAGGCTAATTACGACGACATCAGGTTGGATACTCAGTGTATATCTAGGGTCCACGTCCATAATACCCTACGTTCTTCTGGCCAACACGCCTCAAGTCGTCGCATCTTTCTTATACCTCAGCTACAACAGCTTATTCACGGCGATGCTCGCGAACCGTGAATGGTCGAGCTACGCGCACAAACGAACCACCCTTCGTGTCACGCTCCCAACGTCATCTCAGCGCTCGTCATACTTTCTCTCTTTGCCCTACAGATATAGCCTTCCGCTCATCGCCGCCAGTATCTTACTGCATTGGTTTATCTCGCAGACATTGTTTATCGCACCCATTGCGGTTTACAAAAACGGCATACTTGAGCCGACATCTCACGACTGGTTCATTCAAGGCGGATCGGGGACTTATCTAGGGTTTTCAGACTCAGCGCTTGTCGCAGCAATTGTTATGGGATGCCTCTTGGTCGTGGTTTGCTTGGCTTTTGCGGGGTTTTGCAGATATCCGGTGGGCATGCCACTTGGAGGCACGAATAGTGCGGTCATCAGTGCGGCGTGTCATGTAAAGCACAGGGATGGTGGGAAGGCTGAAGGCCTAGACGACATTGTCGAGCGCCCATTGCAGTGGGGAGTCACCGTCGAGGGTACCCCGGATCAAGTTGGACACTGTTCTTTCAGTGACAGAGCTGTTCAGAAGCCGGTCGAAGGCTGCTTGTACGCTTGAAGAAGTCTATTAGATTACACCTACACAAACTCTGAACATAACATCATGTACTTAACAACCAAGAAACATGCAGAAAGCTAAAGAAGCCTGCATATCCATCACAGCCATAATACCATCATTGCACTGCATCTATTCACAATACCAATCATGTGCCCATGGTACCGTCTACGCAGCCGCAGCAGGTTTCCTCGCCTCCAACTTCCTCGGGGCCTTCTTCGCCGCCCCTCCATTCCCTGCCTCACTCTTCTTCGCCGCACCCCCATTCCCAGCACCACCTGCCCCACTACCAGCACCAGCACCACCCTGCTGCCCCAATTTCCTCGGTTTCCTCTTCGCTTTCTCCGCCGCAGCCGGCGCGTTATTCTCTTTATTATCACTAAACGACACCCTCTTTGGCTGAGCAGACCCGTTCGCAGACTTGTTCGCCGTGGATGGGGATTTCTGTGATGAGGACTTGGCAGATGTTTGTTGTGTGTTCGGTGTTTGCTTCTGTTGCGAGGGTGGGGTGGATTGCGTTGATGATTGGGGGTTTGCGGGGCCGCGGGTTGTGGGTGGGCGTTGGGATCGGGGTTTGGGTTGTTCTTTCGCTGGTTCATTCGACTGTGGCTTCTCCTGCTTTGGCGGTTGTGTGCCGTTTGTTTTCGGCTGCGATGGTTTCGACTGAGAAGTCTTCTGAGGCTGTGGCTTAGACTGCTGTTTTGGTTGACTCGGCGCTTGTTGGGTTTGCTTTTGAGGTTGTTGCTTGAGTTGTGATGAGCCTTGCTGTTGTTGCTGTTGCTGCTGTTGACCTCCACCTCCCCAAGGGTTCATCGCAGCTCCCACTCCCGCAATTCCAGCTCCTGCGGTTTTGACTGCCGACGGCATGCTCGGCCTCCAAGCAGTCATGTCTTTCGCGGACTGCGACCAAGTCTGCGGCATCATATCCGGTGCGTCATTCTTCATCTGTTCCAGCTCTTCTTTAGATGGTGCTTGCGTGTCCTTGGTTTGCATGACCATCTTCTCCAGGGCCTTCTTTTGCGATGGCGTCGATTTGACATCTGGGAGGAAGTCACCAACGACACCCTGAACGCCTTGACTTGCCATCTGTCCTAAGTCCCACATTGGACCGTTCATGGCACCGTAAACTGATCCAATACCTCCTCCCAGTAGCCCAGTCACTGTGGATACCGTGCCGCCAACGAGCGCGCCGGTCAGCTTTCCAATGGTCACACCCGGCTGCACTCCCAATCCGGCACCAGCGGCGAGACCTTGGAAAGCACCCGACTGTGTATATTTTGCCGCCTTTCCGAATGACTCTGCTTCAATCTCTTTATTAATCGCCTTCGCTAGAATCTCTTCTCTTGCTTTCGCGTCGCCCGCTCCATGCGCAGCTTGCCTCAACTCCCATGCTTTCTGTCCCGCCTGGAGTGCCATTTGCGCCGACACGCCTGCATTCTGCTTGATCTCATGTTCGGGGACGTTGCACTGTCCGCCACCAACGTGAACTTCTCCCATGCTTGATTCGTTAAATCGACTGGTTTCGGTACGATGTTGTTGTGCTTGTTTTGGGAGCGTGTCTTCGTCTAGACACAATTTCGATAATGTTATTGAAGGTCTAGTCAGGAGGCTGGTTTGACGGGTCAACGCTAGTATGACAGCTCAAGTGCGAATACGCTACGTCATGCACGATCGACGAGATCGCCGTGGTTACATGTGTGTGGCCAGCCGACAACCTGTTTTGACCACAGGAACGCGAGACGTAGTTTCTACAACATGTAGGGTTATCCCTTCTGCGTTCGGCGCGACTCTTCAGTAACAAGACCGATGGCTGTCACTGGTGGTTGTAAGTCGCTGCGCCAGTGTGTCATGACGTCAGCGGCCCGGCGCCAGGGTCTTTCATCTACCAAATTCCTGTCTGCAGTACACTATGAACGCGCCGCGGTTTTAACAGCGACTCACACACCCGCCTCGTTGGTTCAGACTTTAGTAGTTTTGACGCGTGCTGCGGTGTCGTACATGTCACCTGGATGTCGAATTAGTCGCCGAAAGCTCACCATCTCACGAGTTTCGCCACCGAGAAAGATTTACTTTTTGATTGGCTGCGATCGATTGGATCAGGTATACCACTATTTTACTCCTGCGAGATGCTACGCTTTCTTCATCGCGTCGCCAGTAGAACCAGCACTCTTTACACCTCCCTTCAGCTCCTTGTTTGTCGCCTGTATCAACACTCTCCGGTAGCTTGTCAGAGCCGGGGTGCCATCATCCGTGACCTCAAGTATCAGATGAAGCAATTGACCTTGAGCAACCGGCTTCTTGCTCAAAAACTCGACCGCGCATTTTTCCGGAGGTGGAAGCCTTACCTCAACCTTCCTGCCGTCATCATCCAGCTTCTTGATAACAAGTTGCGCAACCTCGCTGTAAACCAACCACTGCGTCGCTGTGGGTTCCCGATAATGCCACCACTTGAATGTGAGTTTTCCGCCATCGGGGTCGTATGTAGCAGACGCGTCGAGGGTGACTTTTGATCCGGCTTCAGCGGTGATCTGGACAGGCGCTAAGCCTTTGAAGCCGCTGATGTTGATCACGGGATGGTGATTTGCTTTTGCAAAATCTGGCTCCATGCTCCACTTGATGCGCGCGGCAAAGTCGTTCTGGAAAGCATCGCGCCATCGCCAGATAGTCGCGTGGTTGGATGTATACGTCCTGTCGCCAACTTTAACCCTGTCTACGACATCACTGTAGTGGTTGCTGTTCAGGCCTTCAGTGCTGATATCAGTTCGCCCGTATCGACCACCCCAAGATCCATAGTTGGGGCAGTCAGGTACACCCAGACCATTCTGGATGAGGTAGAGGAATGTTGGGGTATCTCCTTCCGGGATGTAGAGATAGTCAGGGTACGCCTTTCCGAGTGGCCCGATTTGGATGTTCTCCTTGATCCAGCTCTTTTCCATCTTGGTGAAATCTGGCCCACCTTCATCGAAGCCGTAGTACTTGTCGCCAGAAATGCCGGTCCATGCTGCCAGACCATACTGATTCCAGCCGTGAATGGAAGCAATGTAGAATACGTCGGGGAAGTTGTTGCGGATCCATGCACCTGTGTCATCTTGGTCGGAAATGGCATAGACGCGTAGACGTGAGAGCAAGCGCTTGGAGTCTTCAGGTTCGAAGTCGTCGTCTACTTTGAGTAGTGCCGAGGCGAGTGTGTTTGTTCCGCCCCAGCAAAGAATCCATAATGGCTGGGTAGATGGTGCGACGATTCGATCGTACAGCAGCTGTCCACCTGGAGATAGTGGAGTGTCTGTGCCAACAGCCGACATGCCGTAAGTCTAGATACTGTCAGCGCTACTCACGTGACGTGCTGCGTCTAGCGAATGGAGCTTACCTCGGCGCCCTTGCGAATCAACCCACGCAAATGTTGTGCCGTTGGATACTGCCAGTTCGGGTGTACATGTTTGTTCAAATTATCCACGGCGTCGGCATATGCGTTGATAATCTTCCCCATGTCTTCCGGGTGCACTTTGTTCTTCATCCATGTGCTTGTGCAAGCTACCAGACCCTCCGTCTCGAACTCATTGGCATACAACAGGTACCGGCACAGCGACTCGGCATCATCCGGCTCATTCGAGATGTCCGACAAGATGAAAACGCGAGGCTTCTGTGAGTATGTCTGTAATTTCTCGGTAGCCATGTTGGAGCCGGGTTGTTGGCGTGCTGAGAGTCAATGGACTTGCAAAAATCGAGAGGAAGCTTTCTTTTGACGCTGTTGAGCTTTTGAGGTTATCCGATGCTACACCAAACACCCGAAGTTGTGCCACGGCGTCCGAGGTGGGGCTTTGAGCAACGGTGCGGTGTCCTTAGGCACCTCCTTCCGTCTGGAGGAAAGCCGGCTATTCTTGCCATCCGTCGGTCTCCACCTCATGATTCCCCTCACCATCGCATATACGAAGTCACTGCTGTTCGCAACTGTATCGTCGTTACCCCGGATTCCAGCATGATGTCCAAAATGCGAGATAGCCGTTGCCACGCCGCCTTAGTGCATTGAGGCTCAGCGGCCTGCGCCACATGGAGCTAGGCCGCATTGGATGGTAGCTCAGCCTTGCTCCTTATGACGTCTGGAATCTGCCCCGCTTCAACACCACCAGCCACGTTAAGGACAGCAGTTTGGTTCATAATCAGGCGCCCAATAGCCTAAGACAAGGCCATATTCGTGCCGTCAGGCCGACTGCCAAGCAGTACCACCATGATCTCTTGCCGTAAGGAGTCGATTAGGTAGGCTGTGCTTCGTTCCTTCCTAGATATATAGCATCAGGCTACCTCCGATCGCGTTCGCATCACAACTCACAAACTAGTACCCCATAGCTCATCTCATCATGTCAATTCACAACAAGATCCAGCAGGCAGCGCAGAGGAACGAGGAGCTCCTTCGTGGCCTCGAGGACACAGATTCGGCGCCCTCACAGCTCAAGCAGCAGAACGCCTACATCGCTGACCTCGACGCGCAAATCAACAACATCAGGAAGCGCGTCAACGACCTCAAGCAGAAAACAGCCAGCGAGCTGAAAGACCACGAAAAGTACCGCGACTCGCACTTCCGCCGCTTCGCCCACAAGGCCAGCGGAAAGAAGGAGAAGTTCGCGGAAAAAGCCGCCAAAGAAGAGAAGGAGTACTTCGACGCAATCCAAGAGCAAAAGAGCGCAGAAGACGAACTCGCCTACGCGAAACAACTCCGCGCCGAAGCTGAAACGCGCAAGAACGAAATCGCGTCGCAAGCCCAACGCCACACCACGCTCCAAGCCGACCTCGACGCGCTCTACAACTCCATCTTCGCAGGCCACACGCCCGAGTTTCCCGACGAAGACCGCAAAGAAGATGCCTGCAACGCCGCACACGCGCACGTCCAAGACCTGACCCAACGCCTCGAGCGCGAGCGCCACATCCTCTTCCTCCTCGGGCAGACGTCTGTCAAGCTGTCTGCCGCCCGCGAACACCTCGACGGCGCATACGGCATGTCGCAATACGACATGTTTGGCGGCGGCACAATGGCCAGCATGCAGAAGCGGAACTACCTCGAGCGCGCCGAGAGTTCCATCCAACAAGTGCGCATGCTGCAGCAGCAGGTCAAGCAGGTTGCGCCTGAGATACCGGGGCTGGGTCAACTCAACATCGCCATGGGTAGTATATGGAGCGACGTCGTATTTGACAATATCTTCTCCGATATGCAGATGCACGATCAGGTCAAGCAGTCTATTGCGCAGGTCGACCGCGCGGGAAACAAATGCGGGGAGATTATTCGACAACGCGAGGCGCAGGAGAAGGGACTGCAGGGCGAAGTCGACCAGGCAAAGGCGAAGCTACAACATGCGCGGTTGCAACTGCAGCAGGCGCGTGAGGAGGCGTTTAGGAGGGTGCTTGGAGGACAGCAGCAGAATGTGGGTACGGGAGGTTTTGCACCGCCTGCTGGTGAGGCTCCGCCGCCGGAGTACACAGCGCCGGCGGGTCCTCCTCCTGGGTACTCGGCTTGAGCCGTGAGGTGGTGGTTCATGCGTGTGGCTTGCTGATACGGATGGGGCTTGTGTTCGGCCCGTATACCCTCCATATTCTATGCTGTGGGGCTCGGCGTGACTTAGTTCTAGTAGCGGTCGATAGAGACTGTTTATACGAATGGGAATAGTTTGTAATGGCATCTGGACTTCGGCAATTGTTTTGAGCTTGTCGAAGATAAGCTCGCTTGGTTTCTGGAAGGTGAACCGATACGGAGGCTGCAACGTTGAAGGGGGCACATCAATCGAGAAAAAGCCGAACAGGCCTGCAGCCTACATCAACATGTAAACCTACTAGATAGGTGAACTAGCGTCGATGTAGGCTCTAGACCTGTTCAGCTTTTTTCTTGTATGAGGTGGGGGCTAGTGGCAGACGGTTGATGAGATAAATGATAGTTTTGTAATCAAGCACTACATTAGTGAAGAAGGCATGTGGTGGTTTCAACTGAGCAAATATCATGATGAGATGCTATGTTAGGTACTGCTATCTACACCACCCCTCAAATGAAAGCCTCGTCAAGGTAGTTTCCAAAGTTGCTGTCACGGAAAGACGGCGTCGCACTACCGAAATCCGTGTTCTCAATCGCACTCCTCGCCGCCGCCGTCATGCTGTCCCACGCAATCAACGGCTGCTCTCCACCTTGCGTAGTCGTCTCGATCAACTGATGGTTAACCGGGAAGATAGACCTATACCCGATCCTCGGCCTGGTACCAGTGAGACTAGGGTTGGTAACTTTGTCGTAGTCGCCGTGAGCAGAGATGGCGACGCCGCGGATAGTAGCGGTGGTGGACTGGGCGGACAGCCAGACGACGATGTTTTCCCAGTCGTGGCGGTGGCCGAGACCGGGGCCGGGGCTGTCTTTGGGCATGTACCAGGAGTACATAATGGCGTAGGCGCCGTTGTGGGCGGTGGCGCGGGCGTAGACTTGGCCGGGGGAGGAACTGCACCCGCTGTTTGAGGCGCCGGTGGGTTGGAGGCCGCCGCTGGAGGGTGTTAAAAGGATTCACTTTCTGGAATACGGTTGACTTACCCTGTGTCACCAGCGGCGTTCACAGCGGGGAAGGGGACGCAGCCGTTTTCGACTTTGAGGTAGGGCTTGTACTTGAGCATGAGCTGTCCTACGATGCCTGAAGGAACGGTCTGAGGGAAGCCAACAACAGCATCGTGAGCGATGACCGCACGGCTTTGGAGGTTGACGGGGGAGGCGAGGACGACACTCGCGGCTGCGAGGAGCTGGATGGCAATGTTGAACATCTTGACTTCTGCTGAGAGCGAATGGAAGGAGGAATGAACGGTGAGGTATGTCAAGCGAGTGACAAAGTCTTTGTGCCGGGAGACTGGCTTGATCTTCAAAAGATGGTGGCTGCGGTGGTTTTATACGAAGTCTTCGGCGTGTTCAGTATCATGCGGCTCTTCCCGATATCGTGCTCACTGAGTCCTCAAGTCTCTCTCAATCTCAATGGGGAAGTTCACGATACAGACTAGCAAAAGCGCGATACGAGCAGAAGCGTAGGAAGCACACAAACAGCGCACATGCCCTGATATACCACCACCAATTGGCCGTTTATCCAGCTCCCTTGGACGCATAACAACGTTTCCGACGTTGTCGCTGGGGTACCTGCAGCGCATCGGCGTCCGGCACGGGACGATTCAGACGTTGCATATTCTACGCCCGGAGCAAACATCTGCAGAGAGTAACGCAGGATGTCGATCGACTAGATTGGGAACCACGACGGTTGCATGCCGGCGAATAAGGAGAAAGCGCGTGGCTGATCGCGTCCGAGCCATTGGTGCTTGGCCGAGACTAGGCCGAGTCCGCATCAGGCAGGTGCAGGGGAGGTGAATGTGACATGCTGCAGTCTGGAGAAACAGAACGAGAATTGCATTAGATTCGTGGATTCATGCTGGTGGGCCGCCGAACGTGAGGAATTGGCGTGGAGTGATTGGGCCAGTTAGACGTACCTGCAGTCACGGGGGACAAAAGGCATGATCTCGGGTATCGAAGATTAGATTGTATCTCGCAATGCAGTCAATCATCCGAACTGCCTCCAGACAGTATTGCGCCGGTCTTTTGGTGGTGTCTCCGGGCCTGGCATTAGCTCGCGCAGCAGGTCGTTGATGTCGAGGCCGCGCTCTTGACAATCATGCCATTGCCGTGGGTAGCCCAGGCTGACCTCTTCAAAGCGCGTGTTGTCTATCCAGTCTGTTCGCCTGATGTGGAGATGGCCAGACACGACGACCTTTGCGTTGTACTTGTTGTGCCAGTCTTCGGTCTTCTTTGTGCCGCACCAGAGCGAGAATCGCGGGACTCTGAATAGCTTGACTAGGTCTTCCCGCAGCGGCCAGTGGCCTACTATAATCAAGGGGATATCTGGGTGTGATGCGACAGCGGCAGCGAGCTTCTTCTCCGTCTTCTCGAGAAGCGCATTGCACCATTCGATACGTGACGAGTAGGGGTCGGGATGCAGAAGGTGCTCGTCGGTCGCTTCTATATCCTTTTCTCGCGCCCACTCCAGCGCATCCTCTAGCTTGACATGGCTAGGCCGGAAGCTGTAGTCGTACAGCGTGAAGATGGGCGCAATGAGACATGGACCTCCCTCACCCTCCCACAGCGTGTATGGGTCTTCTGGCGTGATTATGCCGTACTCCCGCGCAATCGCAACGCACTCCATGTATTTCGCCTCGCCCCTCGCGCCATGCTCTTTCTCCGAGGGCAGCGTGTACAGCTCGTGATTGCCTGGCACCCAGAACACTTGGCGGAAGCATTCCTTGACCTTGGTGAAGGCGAGCCGGCAATGCTCCGCCGACTCACCAACATCTCCGCAAAGTATGAGGTCATCGTGCGGGTGCGGCAGGAGCTTCTCGAGAGCATCGCGGTTGCCCTTGAAGGAGAGGTGGATGTCGCTGATACCCCAGAGGCGGCTCTCTGGGGGCGTCTCGGCGGAGGGCGGGGAGCTTGGCGGGGTTGACGTTGTGTCGGCGGCGGCGGCTTCGGCGGCGGCGAGAAGAGGGTCCATGGTGGCGGCGACAATTGACTGCGCAATTGACTACGCGCCGTGAGGGAGTTATATAGTGACAATGTCTCAAACGGACGTGTTGCAAAGAAGTAACTACATCATAGTTCTTTCTCCGACGCGTGTCCGCCGTTTCGACGGGCTATTATTATCGATTCGCACAGACCAGTAAGACGTCAAGCTCGTATCAGGAAAGAACTGTTCATTTACCAAGTCTCACCTATTCGCTGAAACTGTTTGCATCCAACATACGTATAGCAGCTGTGTATCGTCGCGAAACCGGGTCCCCGCGGTCTACCGTTGAGGTCACGATACATAGGTACGCTGGGTTTAGAGTTTCACTATAGTGAGGCTGACATGGTACACTACATTTGATGGAAGGAACTACGCACACGAGTGATGAACATCGCCGATACTTTAAAGAATCGCGCGCAACAATCGATCCAGAATCTCAATATGCTTGCCCATTACTTGTAGCCGTACCAGCTAAATCGTCGTCGTCGTCGTCGTCGTCCCAGTCGCTGTCAGTCGCTGCTAGTGTGTCAAAACTCTCTATCCTCACATCCTCTGCATCGTCCATTCATACACCGTCCCGGCTCTCCCAAGCAACCCCTAATTCTTCAAGAACCTCGTCGTCATAGAACGTCCAGTCGACAGGCAGCGGGAACGTGTCTCTGAGTATGCTACCGCTTTCATGCGCATCTCGAACCCGAGCGAATTCAATTGGGCGCTCAGCTTCCGGGACCTTCTCCATCTCTTTGAGCGTCAGACCATCTAGCTTGATCCTCAGATCTTCCATTATGTGCGTCAAGTCATTATTGCTGGCGAACAAGTGGTCGTTGGTTGTCGGGATCAGGTATGTGTGCTTTAGTATGGGATGGCCGAGTGAGATGAACTGGATCGAATGTCGTGGGTGCTGAACTTCGTGGTATTGCGAAACAAACGGGTTCTCGTAACGTCGAAGGAGAAACATCGCTGACTCGAGGACAGCATCAGGTGTAGTGGGAGCTTTCACGCCTTCAGTGTCAAGCTGGAGACACAAGGTACGTTTGTCGCCCACTTTCCGGACGGTCGAAGGGGGCGGATTCTTCGCAATGTCGTAGTGAAGTTCCTCTCCGCCTTCGTTGGTTTTGCCAGCCGACATAATTACTGTAGGTCCGGTTTTGCGACTTTCTCCTTCTTGTGTAGTAATCCCACAGACTGCAGTAATTGCATCGCTCTTAGTACGTCGCTGGCGCTCGAAGCGACCAATTTCTATCTCAAGAATGGCGTCCCCATCTGACAGCAAAAGACACTCCTGCTTCACCAGTGTCTCGACCGGGAATATGGCGTACGCTTTATTCCACGACAGGAACATAAGTCTATCTGACGTCGCTCTTTCCAACAGCCTCTGAATTGGAGAGGTTTTGTGATGTTCGATGTTCACCCAATAGGGCTTCTTCCGGAACGCCATTTGTCCGTTGCCACATTGCGGCGTACCAGGATACATTTCGTTTGGATCTTGGAGGGTGTAACCTTCCGTTTCGAGGTATGTGACCATCGGGTCTGTATGTTCATCTTGTATGTGAAGAATGAGAGTTTTCACCCTACGGTTGTCGCCTCGCGTGAAGAACCTTAGCAAGTTTGGGCAAACACCGTCGAAGATCAGAGCACCCGACTCTCCTTGCGCGGACCTAAAATCTTTGGGGTTGGTGAAGAAGTTCCGGAGTTGGTGGTCGATGTTGTAGGCCGAGGCCATGAGCCTGGGCCAAAGGCAACCGAAGTCTTTGCATGCCGCAGTCAGTGTTGCGATAGCGCCAGGATCGAGGTACTGCAGGAGGCAAGTCTGGATCGGACCGAGTCGCGGACTCAGCAGGTCAATGAGAGAGGTCATAGTTCTGGGATGGTTGATGGTGTCAGGTTATGTTGATTGGTGAGGAGAGATATGTGGTTCTGGAAATGTTCGAGCGCCGACATCTGTAATATAGTCTCTATATCCCAGCCAACACAACTGCCTCACACACGAGATACTCACTGATAATGATGCCTTGATGCTGGAGCCTATGTCCGGTGACGCAGCTGAAAACGCTATGTCATGTCGCAAGCAATCCATGCACACCGCGATCTTTTTTGGTGTTGCTGCAATCGCGCCTTCCTCGTTTACCGAAGTTCTTCACGGTTGTGGTCAATGCGGAAGGTGCGCTAGGCGGGTAACCTCGTTTGTGTCACGTCGTCAGAATCCGCGGTGAAGGTGAGGGTGAACTCTCGACTTCTCTAGTGCCTTCGGTAACAAGACTTCACCCCCCAGATACTTTCAAACAGCTACCACCTCTTTCTCCAATACCTAGGTATCTTCCGTTGTTCAAGACTACATACCATCAGCTTCATGGTCAATACCGAGGCATCTTCCGTTATTCAAGACTACATACCATCAGCGTCATCGCCATCATCGTCGTCACCATCATCGTCGTCACCATCATCGTCGTCACCCTCAACAATGTCATCCCCAGCCTCCGCAATGCAAATCCGCGCCGAGAACGCCGAGCAAGAAAACGCTGAGTTGAAGCGAGACCTCGAGCTCGCCAACAAGAAGAACGAAGACCTCGCGGCAAAGCTGGAAGCGACGGAGAAAGAGCTTGCAGAGTACAAGCAAGCTGAGACCGACCGCGAGAACGAGCGCAAGAAGGTTGAAGCCGACAAGAAGGCGGCGCACGATGCTGGAGTTGCTCGTTGGAAGGATGCGGCGGTATCTGGGGCTAGTTTGGGTGAACAGTCGCAAGCATTCGTGGGTAATGGGGCTCCGAAACTCAGCCTGGAGGAAAAGTCGGCCGTGTGGTTGGCGAAGTATGGGAAGAAGAAGTGAGACATGCGCCATCATCATGCTATGTACACGAGAGAATCAAGAGTTGTTTTCAAACATTATCATTCATGCTACATGGACAACCATGCCACATCGCACGTTTACTATCATCCATCCATCCATCGCCATGCCAAAAGCTTCATAACTATGCCTAAACCCTCTCTTCTCCCATCTCCATGTCCGTCATCCCGCGGGACAGACAAGAGACCGTAAAGCCATGCCATGAGAGGAGAAACGCAGACAAAGCTCGCATACATGATATAACCAAAAATCGTAGAGAGAACCGGGGGAAGGGCAGGAAAAGAGTGATTAAGGAAACGCAAAAACGCCATCATGACACAGTTCTCATCACCGTCTCACCAATCCTTCGCAAGCGAGGATTGTCATTGGACGGAGATGTTGTTCCTCAGGCCGCTGGGCTCGGGGCCCTTCTTGTTGCGGCGGCCGAGTAATGTCGAGCTGTCCATGTTGAGCTCAAACGCGCCCTTGTTCCTGACTTGGCGCTTAGCCGCGGCCGCAACAGCTGGGGAGTGTTGGCCGTAGCCGCGTTCTTGCTGGCGCGGTTGTGCTTGTTGTTGCTGGCGGGCTTGGGCGGCGGCGGATAGTGTGGTGTTGCGCATCTTCTGCTCCATGCCTGATACATCGGCGCCCTGAGACTTGGGCAGCTTCGCGGGCGGATGTTGCGACGCTGGGTCGTATGGTGCAGACTCGGCGGCGTACTCGTCATCATCCTCACCCTCGTCAAGAGCGTTGAGCGAGTTCATGGCGTTGGCGCCGCGGTAGCCCTGCTTGAACTGCTTCTTCCGCTTGCCCTCCTCTTCTTGTCGGTGTACAGCGTAACTGACATCAAACACTTCTCGCAGGTTGACGGCACCAGGCGAACGGAAGTCCATGCGGCGGGCACCTGGTGACTCAAGGTGGGAGAAGTCTGGCTGGAGGCGCTCCTTCTTGGCGGCGGGTGTGGCGAGCGGTGGCGCGTCGTAAGCGGAGTAGGTAGGCTCGTCGGCTTCGCGTATCCATGGGTGGTTGAGGAACTGGTTGATGTCGTAGCGCTTCTCAGGATCGACAGTCAGTAGGTGGGAAACGAGATCCTGTGCAGACTTGGAGATGTCGTCCCACCACGGCGACAGGAATGTGTACTGGCCGCGGGCGACCTTCTCTGTGAGAGTTTGGATAGACTCGTCGTAGAACGGAGGGAAACCGCAGAGCAGGGTGTAGAGCACACAGCCCAGCGCCCACATGTCGACGGACTTGGAGTAGCGCTCATCCTTGACAATCTCAGGGGCGGTGTAACCGACAGTACCACACGGTGTCATGGTCTGCGTATCCCAGATGACCTTGCTGAGACCGAAGTCGGCAATCTTGATGAGGCCGATACCGCCGGCGCCCTTGCCCTTGACGAACTCGCCCTCGTCGGCCTTGTCTTCATCGTCCGGTCCCCGCGGCTTTGGGTTGCGGGTGGGGACGAATGGTGTGGGGTAGAAGAGAAGGTTCTCAGGCTTGATGTCTCTGTGAATGACGTCAGTAATTATGCTTGGCATCGTGACTGACATCGATAAGAACATACCGGTGGACGACACCTGCCTCCTCGTGCAGATATTGCAGTGCCTTGGCCACCTGGATGATGGTGTGGCGGGACAGGTCCTCGGAGAAGTACGTCAGACGGACGATCTGGTGGAACAGCTCACCGCCAGGGCACAGCTCAAGCACGATGTAGTAGTACTGCCGCGACTCGGAGAAGTCGATGAGCTTGACGATGTTGGGGTGGTCGAGCTGGCGCATAATCTGTACTTCCTTGAGGATGTTCGCTCTCTATAGGGCAGTTAGTGTCTGCCCTTTAAGCCCGTCGTGAAGGGGGATGCTGAGTCGAGCATCGGGGGTTATATTATCGCACCTCGGCTGCTTTGGGCGTCTTGAAGTCCGGATGCACATGCTTGTCCTACACCGGCCTCGCGTTGGTAACGTCCAAAAACACCCAACTGTTCAACGTGTAGGATAGGGGTGACTAGGAAATGGGCAGGGAGGAAGGGGGCTGGAGGGGTAATACTAACCTGCTGTGAGTTCATCTCGAACTTGCGGACGACCTTGATGGCGACCTCGTCCCATTGGCCGGTCGTGTCTCGCGCGCGGTAGACGTTGCTGAAGGCGCCGTCGCCCATCTTCTCGAGGAGCGTCCATCGCTCGAGGCCGGGATACCTCGGCAGCTTGCCCTTGGCCTCGCGCTCCTCGGCGACGATGCGCTCGAGTACCTGGGGGTCGACGCCGGCGCCCTTGGCAGCGGCCTGCTTCTTGTGCTCCTTTTGGGCGGCGTGCGCGGCGGCGTCGCCAGCCTGGGCGGCAATGTTGCGGTTGTCGCCAGCGCCAGCGCCGACGGAGTAGTCGCCATGGGGGGCAGCGTGGTTCTGGAGCGGCTTGTGGTCCATTACGGGCTCCGAGATGCCATGGTGTACGGGGTCCGGGTGCTGGTTGTACCGTTGATGTTGCGACTGGGCGTGGACATTGGAGACATTGGTCGTGGGCTCCGCGTTCTGGCGGGCCTGCTTGCCATGGCGCAGGAAGTTCTTAAAATTCTGTATCGCGGCCATGTTTAGTGTCTGGACGCTGGGAGGTATTACAAAGCCCGTCAATAGCGGGGTCGTCGAGGCTGCGATGGAGAATGCAAAAACAAGCGGGTGCAGCCGTTTGTTGGGGCAGAGGGCAGACGGGCGGTAGCACGGCGGGAATACTCGGTGGTGAGGGGAAGTCAGGGAGGAGCGCTGGTTGGAAAGAAGGTCATGCATGGACGAAGGAAGGAGTGAAGCCGGAACAAGAGAGGAGCGACGTTGCGTCATTGGCGCACGGGCTTCATGACGCTGCAGGCTACATCATCGCCAAACAAGCTGCACCACACGCACACGATATGATGCGTGCTGCTGCCCGTGGCGCCTCAAGCTCTAGCCGTGGTGCATTGTGTGCAGAGAAGAAGCACATCGAACTGTGTAGAAATATGTCGAAATATGTCTTACCTCGATGACTGGGAGGCCCATCTTCTTGCGTCCGCCGCGGGGAGACGTGGTTTTGGACTGCATGTAGGGATTCGATCTCGATGATCGCCTTCGTTTCTGCTTATTGACTCGCTCTGCGGTGGAGGTATGACGCTCGTTTCTGTTCCGCGTCCCGGCTGGGAGATCTCGTGGCTTCCGCTAGCACGAGCAAGGGTGAGTTTGAGGGCGTTTGGAATTGGAAGGATTATTAGATCGCGATGGGTCGTGATGGGCAGGAGAGGCGAGCAACGGCGGTGTCAAAAAGAAGAGGAAACGAACTCTATGTATCGTCTCTAGATTATTTGTCTTTTGCTTGGACGAGGCCACTGCGCTACTCCGCGCGAATACTCTTCAGCAATAGTGGCAGACGCTGACGCCCGCGGAATCTCCGGCAGCCTCCTCCCAGCTCCCAGTAGACTCGCACAGTCGAGCCTGGCTCCATCTAGAGGCTGAGAGGCTCGCTAGGGACGCTGCCGCCGACGCCACGCTGCATGCAAACCTCACTCCGACCTTGGAAGAGGGTCCCGAGACGGCCTGAACGCAGCCCAATGACCGCATATAAGACCAGGGCGAGATATGGCAATCTCATGGCGCATGCGTCCTCCCAGCGCGCCCGCAGTTCTAATTTCTCGCTCTTCGCGTTTCCAACGGCCTAGCAGCCTGCAGGGTCCAGCTAGCGCGGCGGATCCGTTACGTCACCGTCTAGTGGGGAACTTCATTGAAGACGTCAATTTCGCCCTCTCTCGACCTCTGGGCTGAAACACATGTGCCGCTTACGGCGTCCAGACGAATTCACGTAGATCGCGTTGGGCAGGCCACGAGACCTTTTCAATAATGTAGGTAGCTCTAGTCTCGGTCGCGCCGGCCATGTCGGCCCAAATCCAAGGCCTTGACGCATGGGATTCGGTCCGCCCATCTATCATTGCGCGTTCGCAGGGTTGTGAGCGGAGCTGACATGGGGACTGACGGGGACTGACATGGGACGGGGCAGGCAGAGTTCTTGGGGTCAGGTTTGTCATATTTGGATCTGATAACTAATAGACCCTTTCCCACGATATCCTCGTGGCAATCATCTGGACCCTCGTGGCATGACTAATGAACGTCGCCAAGCGCGGATGGCAACCACGTGCCCGCCGCGCTACACCAAGAAAAACAGCGTCATGTCAGTCAATGTTGGATGAGGAATGCGACGAGTGCAAATGTAGGAGAAAGTTTACCGTATGCGCTCAATGTCACTAGTGAGCCGGTAGCCGTGAGAAGATCAGGGTACGGCCGGCACGGAGACAGCAACATCCCGCCAAGCTTGGCAGCGCCTGAAACGCAATCGAGTCCACACGTAGCTGACGGATCCAATCTCTCCACGTACCACGAATAAATCATACGCTATAACAGGGTATGTGGAATGTCAGGCATATAGAACACGTGTTTGCATAGCTCTGACACCGTACCTAAAATTCAATTTGACCTGCCTATCTCTCAACTACAGCGCCTCACACCTCTCACACCCACAATCAAATCCCCACGTCTTCTTCAGCCTCAACATCCTCTTCCCACGACTCAGCTTCCTCTCCTCCCCACTAAGATACGTGATGCACAGCTCCTGTCCGGCCTTGATATCCTTCCCAGCCGTAAAGAACCACGTCCTCCCCTCCCTCCTCTTCTCGATATTCGGGCCGCACGAGTGATTGAAGTAGCTTGCAGCAGGCCAGCACCCGTATCCAAAGAACTCCGAGCCGTCGTCTTCAAGAGACCGAATGCCGAAGGAATTGTGCGAGTCGCGGGATGAGAGGGTAATGAGAGATTCTGCCGTTACGAGAGGGAGTAGTGGAAGCGGAAGAATGGCGAGGAGGTGCAGGTAGGTTCTTGTAAAAGCGCCGAGGTCGTCGGAGCTGTGGTAGGGGGTCTTGTCGTCTGCGAGGGCCTCCACCCGTTCCCATTGGTTGGGATGGAGATACCGCCAGACCAGGCCGCTGACGCAGAAGCTCATCACGTCGGGTGTGATGTTCTGCTGTAGTGCCTTTTGCACGGCCTTCTTGTGTTGCTTCGTGACAGCAACTCCGGCCGTCTGCTCGCTTTCCCGTGCAGCCCGTATCAGCGCCGCCTGTGCAGAGACATTCTCCCACGCCTGCTGGATTTCCTTGACCTTTGGGCGTGGTAAGTCGGTGTCCACCATATCGCTATCCTCTTTGCTCCGCTTCTTCACGAGAGTCTCAACCGCAGTCCATGCCTGAACTCCGACCTCACCGTTCTCCTCCCGCCACTTCTCCTGGCATGCTTCCGAGCAGAAAGCAAACCCCACCGTCTTATCCCGAATGTCCAGATCCCGCCCATAATCGTATCCAAAACATTGCCCACACACCTCACGCCGATATTCGCGCAGTAAAACGGAGAGAGAGAGGTCTTCCGAGCGCCACACTATTGTGCCTTCTGGTATATCCTGCGTAGCGAAAACAGCGCGACCCGCGGTCGGTGTATGTCGGACTTGGAAGAGAGGAGATATCGGTGCGCCCGCTGGCAGATCGCTCGCTTTATCGTTCGGCGTATCGGTCGGATGTATCGAGGAGGCTGAGGAAGGGCGTGAGATGCTGAAGACCGAGTCACTGGCTACAGGAATGGACGAGTCGCTTTCGGTGGCGTCCATTGTAGCAGTGTCGATGAGATTAGCAGCACAGCAAGCGGTAGGTGAGTGAATCGTGTGGATGAATTGATGCTCCTTTCGGAAGTCAAAAAGCAATGCTATCGTCGAATCCACAGTGTATACGGTGAAGAGACTACACCCCTCTTTGTCTATTCGAGGGTGGATGGCTAACGGTCGCGCGGGCTGTGGGTCAGTTGCGTATGTCACGTATACTCATGCCAGAATTGAAAGATCGGAGGAAAGCCATTGTGGGTAATTGGGTATGCGGGTGGATACGTTATCGTGACTGTTGATTGACAGAAGGCGAGAGATTTTTGTGTCGGTCGTGCCTGGCCAGACCGATCTTTGGCCGGGCAGGGTTAATGGCGCTAGTGCACGATAAGCGAGTCCCTGCTTTTTGCTTCCAGAGTCCGAAGCCTCGGCAGGTCTGACACCACGAGGCGACGTTAAACGTGGTGTTTATAATGCTCACGATTATCCTTAAGTGTATGCAAATAGTGATCCCATTAGAAGCAGCTATGTAGCTACCTTATGAAATAGCCTCCTTCCTCGTTGAGGTCTATCGTGCCTACAGACGCAAGAATCGCCCATCTAGGCAAGCACGACTACGCGAGTACAACAACATAAAACCCCGCCCTCCACAATTTCTGAACGTCTTTTTCTAGAAATCGGTAGAGATGAAGGGTTAGAGAGGAGCTCTTCGAGTTAAATCTGAAGATTGCTAACCCCTTCATCGAGTGTCGGCGGACGTGCCTCCCTCATGCCAATCATCTTGTCTTGTCTCCTATTCGCTGGTTTGTGCCTGCAACATGCGACGAACATGGCGTGCCCCTCGGTCCTCATCAAACCATCAACAGTCTTCTTCGAATAGAGCAAGTCCTCAATCAACGCATCGATGCGCTGCGAGAACGTCAAGTGCCTGTACTTTCCCGCCGCTTTCAACGCACGGGGGTCGTATATCGATAGGCAGATTGGACCTTGCGTATGCAGGCGTTCTGCGAGATCGAGAAGATCCCAACATATAGCCTCCATGCTAACGAGGGAGTGAGGCAGAGGTCGTTGGCCGTTCTGGAGTGGCTGCTTCCAGCGCTCGATGAAATGTTTGGACGTCTCTGTTGTTCGACTGACGTCTACCATGGCTCGCCTCATTCGGATAATGTAGGCCCTGCGCTGAGGGTCGGTTTGAGGGATTGTCGTGTCATTGCTGGGTGGATGCCACTTGATGCCGCGGTTGCGCTGGAAGGCTTGGGCTTCGGCGCCGTTGCTGAAGAGAGTAGGGCCGCTGATGCTGGGTGGTACGGGCCTGACCATCTTGTGTTGTGTCGCACGGAAGGGTTGTTTTTTATGTTGGTCAGATCCAGTGGTGCCAATCGAGCTGGTGCTAGTTGTGGTGGAAGTTGGCACCGTAAGAAACGTAGGTTACGAGCCTTCAAATACTGCAAGAGAGAGAGGTTGTGAGCGCAATGGCAGTTTACCGCAGCCGGATTGAGGCCTTTCACACATGCCTCCTATCTTTGTGAAACACTGAATGACTGCGTGGTTGTAAATGCCACCTGCCTCGTATAGGTGTATGCGTTGTGTATATATCGTAGAGTGAAAGAGGAGCTTTTCGTTCAGAACTTGTTGAATGTATATATACTAGAAGTAAAAAGGCTGGAATGTAGCTTCTTAAACAGCGTAATGAAGCTTGTGCAAAAGGTATATATGCCGCGTCGTGTAGTGTGCTTGCTGTTTAGCCAACTGGCACAAACACCATGTCCCTTTGTCTCCTTTGTTTGGTCGTAATACCTGCAATCATCGCAGTCAAGCGTGTGGTCTGCCGCAAAAACGCCTTCCATCTCAGTAATGAGTCGACAACCCAAAGTCCTTAGCAACCTCCCTGCCCACGGCCTTGATATTCTCCACAATCCACAACTGCTTATTGCTAAACACCATCACCGCCCCCGGCAAGAAAGCAAAGTTTGCAGTCGTAATACCAACCCAAATCTTGCCAATCAGCGTGCCTTCTGGGTTCCAAACGTGAATGCCATCTCCACATCCAGCCCACACATTACCCTCGGTATCGGTGTGCAGACCGTCGGGAATGCCGTTGTCGGAGTAGGCAAATGTGCGGCGGCCGGTTAGTCTCTTTGCGTCATGTGTGATGTCGAATGCGTAGAGTGTGGCTGGTCGTGTGACGTTTAGACTGTACCCTGCGGCACCCGTGTCGGAGACGTAGAGTGTTTTGTAATCAGGGCTGAATTCGAGGCCATTGGGTTCGACGAAGTCGTCTGCTACGACAGCAATTTGGCCTGTGGATGGGCTGAAGCGGTAAACCTGCTTCGGTAGACTGGGCTCAGGGCGGAATCCTTGGACGTATGCGTAGTCTGGGTCGGTGAACCAGAGATCGCCTGTTACGGGGTGTTGGCGCACGTCGTTGGGTGATGTGAAGTTTCGTCCAAGGAAGTTTGATAGGATGAGTTCGGATTCGCCAGTCACGGGGTCGACGGAGACGAGACCTGCTGGGTTGACGAAATCACCCTGGTCGCAGTATAGTACTCGTGAAGGTGTTGAGCTGTTGGTTTGGGTGCCGGGTGGGTAGTAGGATGTTGCACCGTTGGCCTCGGCGACACCTGGTATCCGCGTTGAGTTGATTGTGTAGTTGTCTGCGAGATCGATGACGGTAACGTTGATGGGGTTGTTGAGGTCTCCGGCCCAGCTGCTCGTCACGTATAGCTTGTTTGTGTCTTTGTTATAGACGCCAGCCTCATGGAAAGCGTCCCAATCCAGGCTTTCCAGTAGTCGTCCTGTTGCGTTCTCGCCGATCACAGATGCAAAGCTTTCATCGTATGCGAGGAGGTTGATAATATCTGGATTCGAAGCATTGGTGGTGACAATGCTGTTCAGGTACGACGGATCCGTCGCGTATGATAGAAGGTCCACGGGGATGATGCTCGACATGATTTTCGTAATGGTAGCGAAGCTGGATACCTGCAAATCACCATCGCCTGGCCTTCCATCTCCTATATACCTCTCCACTGATCGTCGCGCCGGACACCTCACGGTCCCATGTTTTTTTGCAACGTCACTCACCCGCCAAGTTGCCGATGCGATGCTCGTCCATAGTCGACGGAAATATGGTCGGTGAAATGCAGATCTTGGCTGTATGCTTGGCTGGGTCGCTTGACTCGAGCGGAGTGTCGTGTATATTGCCGCGGTGTTTGCTCCGGTGACTGCTGGTCGGCAACTTCCCCAGGTGCCGTATGCACTCCGCACACATGTTCACTCCACACGTTCGCAGTGTTAAGCCATCGCACTCGCTTGTCAAAGCTTATTGTTGAGGTTGCGCAAGCCATACGCTATTGAAAGACTGAGAACTTCTTGTTGAGGTTAGAGCCGAGCTTTTTGGTAGATCGTCAAAACACGCGAACCATGACATCATCACGACCGCGATTGCACCATCAAATGCCGAACTGCTACATCGCATTTCATGTAAAGTGATATGTTGCTACCTAGGTATAACCATGAATGTCTACTCAACCCCACATTCCGACCTAACTATCGTGCATTCCTGTGCTCTGCAAGCCGCATCTTAAGTGTACCTTGCTCGCTTCGCCGATCTATGGTCTAGCTCTAGCGCTTCTTCTTCTTCTTCTTTTTCCTCCAGCCTTACTTGCTCTTTCCACGCAGCCATCAGGAACGCTCTAACATCTTCATCGAAATAGCACCAATCGTCTGGTCGAACGAACTTTTCCATATCGCACGCTATGGCCGAGCCATTCACCAAGTGATCGTATTCTTTAGGCCGCTCATCCTCGTCCATCTTCGTCAACTCAATTGCAGTCGCCTCGCTCAGTCGGTCGTAAAGCTTTGATAACTTCTCGTGATACAGTGTCTTGCTTCCGGAGTCAAACATCGTAGTTGAGTATGCATGTCGCAGTACTGGATGGCGAAGCTCAGTGCAGACGTTCATCTCGTAGAAGAGAGTTTTGTGGTCGTTCCACTTTGGCAGGCTAAGACGGAACGTGGAGGCCTCAAGAACGGCGTCTGGAACAGGAGATGGCGTAACACCTTCTGTATTTAGACGCATTACCCAGGTGTGTTGATCTCCTACGCGTCGAAGCCGGGTAAGCAGTTGGCAATCTGTCGGGCGAATCTCGTCGTGCGCGTTCCAATGTACGCTCTTAATTTTCATGCCACGTAGGCTGGATAGTCTCAGATCATATGGATCTATTTCCTTGGTATTACGCAGCAGGAACATCTCCCTCTTGACGAACGTGGTATAAGGTAATAGATGGTATGCCTTGTTCCAGGCGATGAATGTTAGCATTCCTGTCGAATACGCGTCTCGCAGAACCATGTGTGTTAGAGACTGCGTCTGGCATCCGGTAATCACGACTTTCAGCTTGCATCCCTCGGGTCCATCCTTCTCATATACGTCTTCTGACAATACCTCTCCGTCGCGGCATCGATTGGGGGCTTCTGCGTTGGTTTCATCTCGCACGTAGTTTTCAGCCTCCAGGTATCTGGTCATAGCATCGACCTCTTGATCGACATATAGATAGATACAGTCGAAACGAGGAAGACCAGCGAAGAGGCAATAGGCGAAGGGGCCGCCAATAAGAGCGTTGCAACGAGCTTGTAATGAGCGGAAGGCTTTTGTGTTCCGGAAGAACGGCTGTAGTGTAACGTCGATGTTGAACGTTCCACTCAGGAGCTTCTTGTTGATATTCTTGTTGATGGTCTTGCTTGTCAACATCAGAGCGACTCTCTCCAACGGGCCCAGGGAGGCCATTATAGCATCTTGGATGGGGGCAAATCGTGTGCTCAGCAGATCGGCGAGCGTGACGCTGGTGGAGCTGGTGGAGGCGCCCATAGTGCCTGAATCTGAAATGCGGTGTGGTTGATTCTCGGTGATGTTCGGTGGAGGAGTAGAATGGTGGGCGTTTTTCTGACGAAAGTCGCAATAGTTTATAACTGATGAGGGGGTTAACGTGAAGTGAAATGCAGCGGCGCCAAGGCTATTGCTGCCTTCCATTCTATTGTGCAATCCTCGAAGGTAGTGGTGCGAGCATTTCACCGCAGTAGCATTGTGTTGAGTTTTGCAGTCATGTGTTAGTACCCATTCCCGAGAGCGTTGTCTCATCTTGCGACTTACATAAAAGATTAGAAGCTGCTCAGGCGCACCTTTGTATCCGCTAGACGTAGTTATTATAGATCTAGTGTGTAGTAGGAAGGCGTGCGTAATCCCCAGCGTCTTTTATGCGAGATTAACAGAGCAGCTAATCTATGCATGTAGCCTCTAACGTTACCTATAAAGGCTTTAAAGTTACTCAGGCAAGCCTATGTAGCCGCTAGACGTTGTTGTATCGCAATTAGATTATTGCTGAGTACACGAAGTTCTGACGTGAGGTTCTCGGGACTCACAGACAAGGGTAGGTATTCAGCGCACCTGTCATTTCGACTATAATCACGAACTTTTTGACCCAACTAGGAGGGTGCGACTACAACAACATAACAACACTCAGAAGACACGCTGTTAATCTTATCTCAAATGCATTAATGATATATATACGACCCCTCTCTCCCAATCCGACATAACAACAGAAGACCCATATTCTTGCGAAGGCGTATGTATAAATCTTCATCCCGTCTTCATCTCCTTACCGAACCATTTCAATCCAGATTACCCTGATACATGCGCAAAACAAATCCAGGTATCTTCCCAACGTATCTACAGTCCTATCCTTATTACGCCGAAACCATCACACTCTCCAGGAATATCTACCGCCTCGGCGCGATGCCCGCAGAGCTCAGCGCAGACAGCGGGCCGCCTCCGGTAACAGGTGTCTGAGCGCCTGTAACAGGCGTCGCAGGGGCAGGTGTAGGCGCGCGAGAAGGAACATTACTCCTGTTGTGTGCCATGTGCGCCTTGACCAGGTGACCCGCACACAGCGCGCTGTTGAGCGACAATTCACCCGCCAGCACACCAGCGGCGATGACACGAGCGAGTTGCCTGGCGTTGTCACCGGGCGATGTTGGGTGGGCGCCTCGTACACCGAGGAGGTCGAGCATGGCGGATTGGGGCTCGAGGATAGTTCCGCCGCCGATGGTGCCGACTTCGATGGAGGGCATGGAGACGGAGATTTGGAGGTTGCCGTTGACACTGGACGTTATTAGCATTACTTCTTGATAGATTGCGAATGAGGACTTACTTGTGCATGATGGTGATGCAGTTGGCACTCTCAACGACCTGCGCGGGATCTTGTCCGGTAGCCAAGAAGATGGCAGCGACAATGTTCGCCGCGTGGGCGTTGAAACCACCCATAGCA